TAGGCAAATGTTATATGGACCCCTTTGATCTGCATAAATAGACTGGAAATCTCAAACATTGCTTGAGCAATGTTTCTTCCTTCCAGTTGGTGAGTTAGCTGAACTTTGCAAACTACAAAAAAGATTAACTTTCACTGTTGGATGAAATTAAAGGCCAAACAGTTGTAAAGCAATTTAACACTGGATTTGGCTTGATCCATATATATATATACTGTATATTTTTCCTTTGGAAGGGCTAACCTAATGCATTAGACATTTCCTCCAGTCTTCTAGAGAAATGTAGCTGCATAGAAATGAAATATAAACACACCTACACTTTAACAACTTTTGTCTTATATGTAACTCATTGAATTTCATGAAAACAAAAATGTTAAGAACAAATCAAACCAAACCAACTTCATTTCCATCTTTGATAAGTTAACAAGTGTTCTGGTTGAGGGAAATACAGTAGACATAAGATATTTAGACTTTAGCAATGCTTTCTGTGCAGTTCCATATGCCGTCCTTCTAAGTAAAATTAACAAATGGGGACTAGTTAGAATTACATTTAGCATCACTCGTCATCAGGGATGGAAGGTCTTTCTCTTGTTTCTTTTTGTGATTTTTTAAAATGTAATAACATGTTTGGAAGCAGGGAAGAATATATACATTTAGGGAACAGACCCAGACCCTCTATAGCAAGGGAAGTGTGGGCTTGAGAAGGATAGTAGGGAAGGATTTCCTCTGGGTGTGAGGCAGAGGAATGGGAGTGGATGGAGAGATGACTGGGGTTGTGGGGGAGTGGGAAGAAGTTTTGTATTCCCCAAGGAGAATGCAGTTGGAAAGCAGGACTGGGATGGGCATAGTCTCAGGACACAAGGGAGATCCTTAGTATTTCACAAATAGAGGTATTTATTTCAAGAATCACTCTGGAGGTTGGCAAAATTATATAAAAGAGTTTTTAATAGCTTTTTTTTCACCCTATATGTTTGCCATAGGCATTGCCATGGGAAGTAAAAAGGCTGTTAAATTATTTGTATGATATATTTAGAAATAAATAACCTACTTCAAATGGGAGCAGTTGAGTTTGCCTGATGGATGAAACATGCAAATGGCTTATTAGGTTAAAATAATTAATTCTTTGATGGAAATCAAGAGCAGTTTTAAAAAATGTAGAGCCTGGGTACAAATCAGGCATTGCTTAGTTACTCCCAGGCATTATTATTTTATGCTTTAGCAGTTTGATTTGGTAAGAGTCATGCAAACAGATTTGTAGAGCAAAATTTTCACTAACATATATTTGCTTTAAATGTCTGTGAAATTTCTGGTTGTTTTCACAAGTCCCTCTAGCAAAGAGTGGTGTTCCAGGAAGCTACAGATGCAGAGCCCTGATTTTTCAGTGCTTGAAGGTTTTCAGGCCTCTTGCTCCAGCACATGAATGTTAAGAGAGCTACTTCACAATTTAAAGCAGCACTCTCAGTAATTACAGCGGATACTAGCTGCCTATCTTCTGATGCAGAATGGCACAAAGCAGAAAAGCTTGAATGCTCTCAGAAATTATGGCCAGTACCTTCAAATGGACTAGCAGTTACTTGATAAGAAAGCAGCATTTTAAAAAATGAAAAACGGAGACGAACCAGGAGAAGATAGAGAAGATGATGGCAGTGTAGGAATGGGTATAAAGAAAGGGATGCGGTTCTCACATCCATCTATCAGGAGTTCAGTTTGGTAAAACTCCATGTGAAGTTCAGTAGAAATGGTAGCTTCAAGGGCTTTCCCAGGATATTAGAAAATTACCAGTGGGATTCAGGTCTACAAACCATGGGTCTAGCGTAATTCATATGTCTGTAGGGCCATAGTAGGAATATGTGGTTTGTTTCCACAGTCTCTAACAGCATGAGCCAGGGAAGTCATTGGAAAGATTCCAGTAATACTATATTAAATTAAAAGTCTTTATTCCTGTTGTAGGTCTAACTTGGTATGTTTCCTCTGGTGATATTGCGATTGTTTTGGATCACACTATTTTATTATGCTCAGAATTCTGTTGTCTTCTGGTTCCATGGTTTTGTATACCAACCAGCTGTGCTACTTTCTTTACAGGAAATATTAATATCCAGAATTATTAAATATTGTAAGTAATTGTTCTATGAAAACAGAAGCCCTGATCTTTTAGAAGACTTCTCATCTGAGACCATTCTGCCTCTTTTCTGTCCTACAAGAAATGAGGCAAAACTACTACACTCTAACATTCCTGAATTCTTGCATTTGTTTGTTTGTCTGACTCTAACACTATTAGGTCATGTCCTAGGAGTCCTTATTCATTTTCATTCCTTCTTTACTCAAACTCCTAGTGAAATCAAAGGCTGTGAGGACTCCAGGATTTCAGCACATTGTGAAATGTAGAGGTAAATTATGCAAGTAAGACAGTTATCCTCCTGGGCTTTTTCAGGAGAAGAGCAATAGAAGGATAGAGTGAATGTACAGTACCATCCCTGAAGATTCTCACACTACAGTAAAATAAGTAAACAGAGTTCTTAAGTGGAATGGTAACATGGCATTAGTGATGATGAAGATGTAAATACTGTTGTATGTCCAAAGTAGAACCAGACCTGACTTGGGAAATAAATGTGGCTGCTTCTTCATATGTCAATATAATTTTATAAACATTATACTGAGTTGCTTACCATCTCTATCAGAAAACTTACTAATACTAATTTTGAAAAAATCCTTTTTTTGTTTTCATTTTTTGTTTTCTTTTTTTGAGTTAAATATAATACTTCCTTTAAAACTCTGCTTAAAATGCTATTAAAATAAAGTAAAATGTGTAAATATCTTCCAATATTTTAGGGTGGCTTGTTTTTAATTTTGCTATTGAAGAATGCCAGTGAATTGCTGTTCCATCATGGACGTTGTAATATCATCTTAATTGACATAATAAAATAATCTTATTTGTAAAGAGAGAGGTATCCATTTGCCTCAAAACCTTTGAGATTTGAAGCGATCAGTGGGGACAAAGGGAGAGAGAGTGAGAACATTTTCACATGTATAGAAAGATGGTTGCAAGTTCTCCTTAACTATTGTATTATCTTGGTGAGCACTCTCCAATGTCTCATGTCTTAGCAAGTAATAAGTAACATTTTCATCTTCCAGTTCTGTTGAAGTCTTCAACTTGTTTGTATTGTACACCTGCAATAACTTACGTATTTCTAGATTCTCAAAAGCGGGTTTGCAGAAAGACTGCTGAAGTGAGTTAAAAGCGTAAATATTTAAATGTAAGGATGATCCTCTGAAGGGTTGCACTTATATCCTCGATATTTGTCTGCTTTTGAAATGTTTGCTTCAATAAGCAGAAATGTGAGAAGGGGTATGAATGCCTAAATCAAACTGAAGTATTTCTTGGATTTTCAGTATTTTGTTTATGGAATCTGACAGCTGCAATGACTTGCATAAGGAGAAGAGAAGAATTAATCAAAATCTGAATAACAAGTAACTTCATTTAGAAGCCATTCTTGATAAGTATTTATACCAGTTTAACAGCCACAACTTTACCACAAAATCCATAAAAGCAGTTAATTAAGTATAAAAGAAGTTGTGAGTTGTATATTTAGGTATATATCTACTTTAGCCAGCAGTAACACAGAGCTGATGAAAGAAATGTTATCTTCTTACAGTATTCTGGGACAGAAAAGTAATTGGTAAAAGTAGCAGAGTTGTACAACATAAGGTGGTAGCTACAATTAAAATTTTTCAAATCATGTAAAATTCTCATTTATAAACACTTTAGTGAAAAGGACAAGTTTGAATTTAGAGTGTTCATATACCTTTTCTATTTGCTGCTTATTATTGTAGTAGATGGGAGTGTAGCAGTCATAATCATCCAGGAAATGTACAAGAGGCAAGGATTTTTGTGATTGGACTTTTATTGGAGCAACTGTATAGATGGAAGATCTGAGGGACAAGCTTTCAGGCATCAAGGGCCCATCCTCAGGTCTGAAAAAGAGGCAAATGCAGTCAGAGCTAAAATCAGTTGGGAAGTATATGTCACTGGGTAGTCAGGCTTCTTTCTTCTTCATGTTGTATATTTTCCATTTTAAATGGCAAATTTCAGTATCTTCCATGTTGTAGTATGTTTAGGGTGTTGTTCTAGTTATGATGGTTGAGCAGGTCTCGTAGCCCTATGCTTCGTCTGATAAAAACAAGCAAAGACTATATAATTTAAAATATAAAATTAATAATTGATAATCAAAAAACAAAATCTTTGCCTCTTGTTTATTATTTGCAGTTCACCTTTACTGGTTATGAAAAGCAAATTTTGGGATCTGGAGCTTCTATTCACTTAATCAAAATATGAATTTCAGTTCATGATAAAACAACATTAATTTCAAGGAAAAATAGTTTATAAAGTTTAGATCAGGAGTACGCAACCTCCAGCATGGGCGCTGGAACATGGCACACAAAGGCATTTTGCTTGGCATGCAGGCCTTGGGGCGGATGGCAGGAAAGGTGCTGGGGCTGTGCTGCAATACCAAGGATTGGTCCTCTCGTGGATCCCCTACCATCTGCCCCGGCACATCAACATCTTACAAGTTCTGGTTGTGGGTGCTTTTGGCACTCTGCCCAAAAATGTTGCCGATCCCTGGTTTAGATCCTCAAAAATGGAAAAAATATGATGTTTCTTTGGTCGTTAGTCATAAAACTTGAGAATTCTAAATATCAAATAATCAATTATACTGAATGTATTATTTGAATGCCTTTATGTAATGAATACATTTATAGAGTTCTGGATCTGTTTGCTATAACTTGCAGATAGGGAAAAAGGCTAAATTCACAACATAAATTGCCTATGACATGTAACTTAACCAATCTTCATATAGAAAATGAAGTTCCTTGAACGATATCTGGGACCTTTCATTGAATATATAATATATGAATAATCCATTATATTAAAATATATTTGTACTTTTAAAATGAACATTTTAACTGGTTATTACAATACTAGTATTTGTGCGTTCTATCAACAGATCAGCAGTACTCATGGTCACCTTCTCAGCACTTCAATGAAGAAAGATACTCTCCTGCTCCGAGGAACATGAAAGGATTATCTGGTAGTCGGAACCAACCACAGTTATGTTCCGCTCATACTTGTGGCTTAGCATCCCCTGAAGATTGTGAGCACACCCACGATCATATCCACCATGGGCAGGAGCCAAGGCAATCATATCTTCTTAGCCCCACAGAGAGCTGTCCGATGGACCACCATCGCTGCTCACCGCGAAGCTCCATCCATTCTGAATGCATGATGATGCCCATGGTAATGGGAGATCACATGTCTAGTAGCACTTTTCCCAGAATGCACTACAGCTCACATTACGATACTAGGGACGATTGCGCCATGTCTCACGCTAACACTAAGATTAACCGAATCCCTGCAAATCTGTTGGATCAATTTGAGAAACAACTTCCTCTCCACAGGGATGGGTTTCACACTTTACAATATCAGAGGACCTCAACAGCTGCTGAGCAACGCAGTGAAAGCCCAGGAAGAATACGCCATCTTGTTCATTCAGTCCAGAAACTGTTCACTAAGTCTCATTCTTTGGAAGGATCATCCAAAGGCAATGTCAACGGGACAAAGGGCGACAGTCGAGGGGACGATCATCATCATGGACATCATTCCAAGCATAGCAAAAGGAGTAAAAGTAAGGAGCGAAAACCAGAAAGCAAACATAAATCTGGAATGAGTAGCTGGTGGAGTTCTGATGATAATTTGGACAGTGATAGCACTTACCGAACACCCAGTGTGGTAAATAGGCATCATGCAGATCATATCTCGCACTGCTACCCCGAAGCTCTCCAGGGGCACTTTGGGGATCTCTCATTAAAGACTTCCAAAAGTAACAATGATGTGAAATGTTCAGCTTGTGAAGGGCTGGCAATGACCCCTGATGGTAAATATATGAAAAGGAGTTCTTGGTCTACACTTACAGTAAGTCAGGCGAAAGAAGCTTATCGTAAGTCATCACTTAACCTCGATAAGCCACTGGTTCATCAGGAAATCAAACCTTCCTTGAGGCCATGCCATTACCTTCAGGTAAGAGCCAGATTTGCTTACTATTTGTAATACAAAAATTAACTAGTTACAGTTTACAATAAAAAATCATTGTAAGAATATGGAAGTGCTCTATAAATTTCTTAAAGGTAATGAGTGCTTTTTCACATAGCATAACTATACATAGGAGGTGTTGGACTTGACTAACAGGATTCGTATTGAAAAATGAATAAAATTGGTATCATCTAAATTTAATTATTGTGCTTTTGGTATCTGGATTTGTGGTGCATTCATCTTGATGAGAGGTCTGTATCTTAGGTCACAGGAAGGAGCACTACACACTGAAGTTTGTGGCTAGAACAAATATATTGAATGCAGTTATTAATTAAAGATTGTAAGCCAGTCAGGGTGAAATCTTGAGATCTTTTTCCTTTTCTCCTTCTTTACTGTCACTTCCACATCTTCCCATAGTCTTTGTAAATTCACAAAGGCCAGTTACACCAATAGCCTTAATCCTTTTATGTTATCCCATTAATACAGAGTGGGGACCCTTTCCCAGATCAGGATCCAGCTTGGGTAATAGGCTGGGAGCTTTGCCTCACTGCTCCCTTTCCGTTCTGGACCAGTCTTGGAGAGCACTGGGGCAAAGCCCCCAGCCTGCTCCTCACTCAAGGGACTCCAAGATAAGAACCAGGCAGGTGGCTTGCAGTGATGTCTGTTTAGTAGGGTTGTGTGGAGCTTTGGTCCCTGATTTGATTCAACAGAGATTCGGCCTGATTCGGTGGCCAAATATCTGAATCTGAATGGAATCAGGAGACCCTTTAATCTCGAATTGAACTGGAACCCTCCAAATCGATGCGGAGAGATCCAGAAAGATTTGGTGATTCGGATATAGACACAGCTTTAAATATTTTTTCTCCATACCTCAAGGTAGCAGGTGGCTTGTCAATGCTGTGATGGTGGGGTGGATGGAGCATTCAACAGGAGTGCGGGGGCTCCCCAGCACACTTGGCAGCAGACCCAGAAGTGGAACAAAAGCACTTCTGGTCCACTTCCATGTCCGCCAGGGAGAGCAAGGAGGCCCCCCCTGCACCCCTCCCAGCTTGGCAACTGGTGCCTCCTGGGTCTGGGGGTGCATCCGGGGTCCTCCTGTGGCTGATGGTCGAGCCAGAGAGAGGGGGTCGGGGGGGCCCGCAGCATGCTCCCCAGCAGACCTGGAAGTGGACTGGAAGTATTTCTGGTCCACTTCTTGGTTCACTAATGAGCACATGGGGGGGCCCTCCATGCTCCTGTGGGATGCTTCATCCACCCCAGCATTGCAGCATTCACAAGCCACACCTGGTACCTTGAGGTATGTAGAAAAAGCATTTAAAGCTGTGTCTATGTCCAAATCACTGATTCTCCAAATCAGCATCGAAGCTTCAGATTCGGATTCGGCCAAATCGAATCAGGGACAGCGATCTGAAACAACTAATCGAATCACTGTCCTCAATTAGGGCTAACTCCGAATCGAATACGGCCCATTTCACACACCCCTACTGATTGGCTAGTGGTGCCCAAGCAGACAAAGCAGTGTGGCAAAGCCCATTGCCTACTTCTCACACCAGGGTTCCTGGCAGGGAGCAGGTGGCAGCTCTTCCTCCCCTTCCCTCTAGGTCTAAGGATTAGAGGGTGGAGCTCCCCCCATGACTTCTCCAGACCAGTGTGATCCATGTCTTGAGAAGGTTTTCATATCAAGAGGAGTTAAGGTGGGAGAAAGTATACTAATGGCAATTCTCATCATAGAAATGTTGGTACACAGCCCCTGTGTCTTTAAGGCCTGGTTTGAAAGACACAGATACTGATGTACCTGGAACTGAGTATATCTACCTTGAGGATGAAGGTGTGAACCATTTCTGTTCAAAATTGAATGAAAGACCTCCAGGAGAGTAAATATTTCAAATCTGATATTTTTGGCCATTTATTTATTCCCAACAAATAGTCCCTGAGAACTATTTGCTCTGAGTGCCTTCTCTCTCATTTTCTTTCCAAATCAGCTTTCCTTTTCACAGAATATTTTTTGACCAGACATATAAATAAACCCATTCTAATCTCTTGTCATGTTATGAATCTTGAGAATCTCCTAACCCTTCTGTGGGCAGGATTTCCTAATCTCTTTTTTATTCCTCAGTTTCCTAACACTTCTGGGTTTTGTGGAAACCAATTGATGTAGAATAGAAAAAAATGTTTTAGTCATGTGCAGTGCTCTCTGCTTCTCCAACCTGCAGGGGATGAATTGGCATTAGTCATAACATAGAACATATATATGGTGTTTTGGTTTTGTTTCCTCTCTTGTGCCTGTCAGGAAGATCCTCCAGACATTGTATATATCAGTAAAACAGTGTTAATCATAATATTTTTTACCTACATGGGAGTTTTTCTTTTGTGTTTGAAAGCTAAACCCTGTGGACAATAGTGGGCAAGTATGTTGTCTTTAGAGTATTGCTATTCATTTTTATATCTTGCAAAAAGATCCAAGCAGAATGGGACCACAGCTCTTCATTTAAAACTGAGCATTTACTTATTGTTAATTTCTCAGTATCTTATTAATACATTCCTCCTCTATGGTCACCTTTATAGCCACTATTATTTCTGTCCTTTAAATTCTTTCTTATTTCTTTTTTTCTCTATTTTCTCCATTTCTCCTTTCAGTTCTTCCTGTTTTTTGTTTCTACTATGTCAACTATTAATTCTGACCTTCAGAAGGCTCATTCCCACAAACTGCAGTCTGCCTATATGATCAACTAAGAATGCACAAAATTAACCTGTTCTCATCAGGTTTATAGTCAAGAGCCCAATCAGCTGGAGAGTTTATACTCACGGGTTCTTTTTTTAGGCTCTTTCCAATAGAAAGTAGGGTTAGCTTGTTGATAACGGCTCTAACCGCAGTCTCTTGCTGAACCACAGACTTCTTACAGGATCTCCTTCTCTGTGCCTCATTGTGTAAGGATAAATATATTAGTGATAGTGAAGTGCTCAAATACTACCATGATACAGGCTATATAGTAGCAGAGGCTGTGCAACATTCCAAAAGGGATACTGCAAGAATTCTTTATGGGAAAGATTTTATTACAATGGGTGAAACCTGGATTTCCTGTGTCCAGGCGCTTGACCTGTGAAATAGATTGAGGTAAATAAATATGAAGAAGCCCATTCTACAGATGTCATTTGAACATTTGTTTTGAGATCTGCTCTCATTTAGATGTGACCCTGATCATTCAGAGTAAAGAAAGGGTCCTTTAATCATCTCTATTGCAAATTTCTTCCTTGACCCTGGGCAATTAATTTGGTAAACTCTCTGTGCTTCAGTTACTTTATATGTGAACCTGAGAATTATATTTTCTCAAATTATACAGGATTGGAATGAGACATAACTTAATGTAGGTTAAAATGAAGTACATTGTTAAATCACTAAAAGGTGGGGGCAGAGTTTGGGGTCCTTTGGTAAGAGCAAGTGCATTTTTCATCCTGACTATCTAAGGTATCCGCTTGTTCTGAATCATTAAAGTATCAAAGATCTCACAATCTTTAACGTGTTCATCTTTACAAAACTCTTGTGAAGGAGGAGTTTCTATTATCCTCATGATACAGTAGGGGAACTGCAGAACTGAGAGACTCAGGGTAGAAACAGATGTCACCTTTTGTTGTTTTTGTGTCACCATAAAAATGTTCATGGTGGCACAAAGGCCAAACAGACAGACATCTATACTCCCTGTTGCACTACAAATGCCCCAAAATTTGGCCATGGCAAAGGTGGTATGAATTTGTGCCTCTGTTTAGCTGTGGATGTCTGTTTACCTTATGGCATGAGAGTGTGGGCAGCCTGGAGGAGCCTGAGTATCCATCCCCATCAGGCAGGTGCTCCAGATGTTTGTGGGATCCAATCCTCTGCACCCCAGAAATACACACATAGTAAAATCAAGTCCCTCAAGCCCCAGGAGCACATGCCTGGCTTACCTTATTTTCAGAGATGTGCCCTGGGCAATCTTGGGACACATTTCTGTAAGCAGGGAAAGCCAGGGTTTCCTCACTTACTGAGATGTGTCCCTGGGATCTCCAAGGCACATGTCCATAAGCAGGGAAAGTTGGGGTTTCCCTGATTACAGAGATGCACTCTAGAGATCCTAAGGAGCATGCCTCAGTAAGAAGAGAAAGTTGATCAGTCACCTCCAGCAGGGTTCAAATTACACTCCAACTCTTGGTCGGAATATGGTGGTGGCAGCTGGAAGCCAGAAGGAGCCACCGCCACCACTACCACCTGAGCTGCTTTGAAAGGCATGGGACAGACTGGGGGCACTTGTCTCTTTTGGCCAGGGGGCTCTCATCTCTAATAGGGGGGCCTATGGGGGGGGGATCACATCTCTTATGGGGAGGTTCTCATCTCTTCATAGATTTCATAGACATTAGGGCTGGAAGGGACTTCAGAAGATCATCGAGTCCAGCCCCCCACCCGAAGGGCAGGAAGTCAGCTGGGGTCATAGGATCCCAGCAAGATAAGCATCCAATTTTCTCTTGAAGGTGTTCAATGTAGGTGCTTAAACCACTGCCAACGGCAGGCTGTTCCAGACCTTGGGGGCTCGGACAGCAAATAAATTCTTCCTTATGTCCAACCTGAAACGGTCTTGCAGTAGTTTATAACCGTTCAACCTCGTCATCCCTTGGGGCGCTCTGGTGAACAAACGTTCCCCCAGATACTGGTGGTCACCCCTGATAAACTTATAGGTGACCACCAGATCACCCCTGAGCCTGCGCTTTTCCAGGCTGAAGAGCCCCATAGCTCTCAGCCTGTCATCGTAAGGTCTGTTTTTCTGACCTCTGATCATGCACGTGGCTCTTCTCTGGACTCTCTCAAGCTTCTCCACATCCTTTTTGAATTGTGGGGCCCAAAACTGGACGCAGTACTCCAGCTGCAGCCTCACCAAGGCCGAGTACAAGGGGAGAATGACGTCCCGGGATTTGCTTGAGAAGCATCTATGGATGCAAGCCAGAGTTTTGGTCGCTTT